TGTTGTTGTTGTTGTTGTTGTTGTTGTTGTTGTTGTTGTTGTTGTTGAGTTGTTGAGTCGTTGAGTCGTTGTTGACTTGTTGTTGTTGTTGGTGGTGGTTGTTGTTGTTGTTCTTGTTCTTGTCTGGTGTGTGTGTGTGTTGGTGTTGGTCTTGGCGGTGTTGCTGGTGTTGCTGTTGCTGTGCTGTAGGGGCCGGAAAAGGAACACAAAAGAATTAAGTGCAAGTAATGCAAGGCAACTTGGGCGGCATGACTAGCACATTGGTGCCAATTGAAACTTAACGGAAGGGGCACCCTCACGAGTCCATGATGTTGTGCAAAAAGCTAAAAACACGGATGTTTTTGTGCGTGCAAGAGCCAGAAACACCGGTATTTGCGAGGTGGATGTTCCGGGACTATATAATATATAATAACACAAGAGTAGACCCCAAACAGGTCGTGCAGTTGTCAAACAGTCAACGGCTCGAACCGTTCCAGCTCGCGGTGGTCAACTCGGACCTTCTGGGCTGGCTCTCAGCCTGCCATCTTTGCACTCTTTGCTTTTTTAGTCGTCGCCATCCCTGTGTAGTATTGATTGCATATCCGTCCCATCTTCGCGCATGCTCTTTGCTTAATATTCCGCACACCTCTCTACTCCTTTCCTCCCCCTCCTGCACACCCCCCACAATCTTTTCATGCCGTTGGGCATGCTAATGGATCAAGCACGTTAGTTAGAATGCAGTTTCTGGGCTGAAGACAGCAACTCGATATTCTAGGTACAACTTTTATATAAATACCATATATACTGCTGCTTGTGTACCATATTCCCAAATTCAAGTTCTTCCAAGAAGTCCAAGTATTTCAGCGACAAATTCTTTTCCCTCCAGGAAAGCAGGCGTGGAATCAAAGCTTTTCTGTGAATTAGTGCTTGTTGCCATGGATATCGGAACGCAGGGGCGAGCTGTATACAGAACAGGAGTAAATTGATGTGATTGACACATGCCTCTCCCCTGTCGCTCCAACCATCCAGCACAAATGTCTTTGACATACCATTCATGGAAAATTGTTTTGCCTGGCTTATTCTGACGGTTGTGATACATGGCCACCCTTGTCTAAGACATATTATGGTGGTGTCAAAGCCATATCCTAGTGACCGTCCTAAACATATACAGCATAGATCATAGACCTGTCTATATTGCAAATAGATAGAGAGAGAGGGTGACCAAATGTATGTTGCTTCAAGTGGCAATTGATCAGTTCGGAAGGATATTGGCTTTGGCCCATGCACACGGAAACATTCATGTTCAAAAATCGAAAACGAATTCCCTCCAAGTTGAAATCTTGGCTTGAACAACGCACTTCCAAAAAACTGGAAGCCGGCTCCAGCGTGTTCTATCTATATCATATTTGCACAAGACGCTGATCCGACTGCTGATCTGGTTCTTCCGGAATGCCTTGGAGTGAGAACCGCACCTTGGGCACAGACAGCAGCAAGGTGCCTGGAAGGTCTGGATTCCAAGAGCCCATGCCAGAGCCCAAAGCGCGTGGAACATCAGGACTCCAAACAATTGCATCATCGGCCGCCGCATTCGATCGTGGCTCCTCTGGCTGGGGGAAATCGGGGCTCCAATGACCTGGACCTTGCAAGGGTGATGGGCTCGTAACAGGGTGCCCCAGCATGATGTTCGGCCCGTCATCGCAAGAACCTGCACTACCTGGCGATGAGAATCTTCTCCAGTTGCCGATGAGGTTGTCATTCATATGGCCTTCCCGAGTGTCCACCAGATTGCCAGTCTCTGTCCACGTGAGCGACTTGGCACGTGAGAACGCTTGTTTCTTTGCATGGCTAGACATGAAAATGTCTATCCCAACGCTCTCCTGCTGCAACTGTGAAGGATCCACGCCATCCCCTTCCACCTGACTCCAGAGTTTCACGTGGGACCCCCAATTTCAACACAAACAAGCGGAGTTAATCGGCCAAACATCTTTGGCCGAACATGGCCGAACTATTTGCTCTCTAGAGCTGACCTACTGCTTATTTCTTCAATATTGGACTAAAATGTGCAATGTTTTCCCGTTCAAACCCCACCTCCAAATCCTCTTCATCGTCCAAGGCTGTGGCGTACACAGGATTCTTATAGCGCCGGAAGCGGCGACAAATCTCTGACACCTGCTGTTCCAGGAGCCCCTCCGAGCCTCAACAGCTCGCGCTGCTGCAAGAGGAACGGGAGAAGGACGGGTTCTCCCACCAAAAATTGAGATTTCTCACGCAAGTAGAAACAAAGAACGAACCATACGCGCCCGCTTTCTATCAAAAACCTTGCAGGCATACCCAAATTTGATGCATGTTTACTTTCCCACAAATGCCACGACACCTCACTCAACTCAACCAATCGCGCCCGTGTGCATGTGTTTTGATGGGCGGTCATACCGCCGCAGCCTAGCAACCCGCTGCAAAAGAAAAACGCAAAGGCAAAGGTCGAACCTCACACTGGTATGCTGTGCTCTGCACTCACAAGCAATACAATCCCATTTATATATATAATACATAATCTATCATGATCTCTAAATATCCTTGCGGACAACGGAAGCACGCAGACTGTTTCACAGTTTTTCCATTTGCTTATCGCAGAATGCCGATGCGAATGCAGCGGTTCACCTCAATTGGGGTTCAGTGCGTTAGAACGCGTTTATGCCCAGCCACGCAAGCTTTCAATGCAAAGTAATGCTGGTGTGTGCGTTTTTCAATGCTTCTCCTGCACACAGTGCCAGGAACATGACACGGGTTAGATTCAAATAGGCTCAAAGGAACCTGGCCGGTGAACCAGTACATTGCCAACTGTCTTGAGCACAAACTTTAGATCTTTCTCTGTTGATCGGGCATCGAGTTTGGGTGGCCAAATCTTCGGTCTCATGGTTGCTTGCAGCTTTTCATCTAAAGCAATCATTTGGACCCATTTGGTGTGTCAGAGTGGCAGCAGAATGACCTAAGTCCATTGGAGTCGAAGTTACTGGCCCGTCAGCAGAGCAGGAGATGGCAGAAGGTATTGAAGGTTGAAGATGATGTTGATCATGATGAGAAATGATGATGATGGTGGTGATGCGGATGATGATACACGCACTTCCACCGAGGCTGCCCAAAACCGCTGGGCACAGCGACATCACAAACATGATTTGGTGCGCAACAGACAAGATACATCAATGTAACATTAAGAAACGCGCGCGCTACCAATAATGTATTAATAATGTCCCGCTCCCCCACGACACACCGAATTTACACCAGCATGTTTCCTTCCGGCGCGGACTCACGGAAACACGCTTTCCACCGAGGCCGCGCCAAACCGCATGGATCACAGACGTCATGTGGCGACACGGTGCGACAAACAAGACACAGCAATGAAACATTAAGCATCGTGCTCGCCGCCAATCCTGCGCCGCCACGCGCCGATTTTACACCAGCATCTTTATTCCTTCCCCCAATGGCACAGACTTACGGAAACGCACTTTCCACCGAGGCCGCGCAAAACAGCGTGGCACAGCGACATCGCGAACGTCATTTGGCCACACGGTGTGCCACAGACTATATATGCCAATCATCCCGCTCCCCCACAACACGCCGAATCTACACCAACGTGTTTCACTTCACCCCATGGCACCGACTCATGCAAACGCTGGTGCAAGCGAGCGCCGTATGTCAACGCACCTCGCGCTAAGTCGACGCAGCTGCATGGTATGACGTACATTCGCCCTAAGTCAACTCATGCGTTTTAAGCCAACGCAGTTTTTGCAAAACACCATGGGCACACTGCTTGAAGGACATCACTTCAATGAAGTTGAAAACTAGGAAATCGTCCGCATACTGCGCGCACGTGCTCAAAAATCAATGTTTTCGACTTGCTTTGCGTGATCTTGCCTAAGCAAAACCCCATGGGCACACTATGAACAGCACCTTCGGATTCTGAATGTATATCCTGAGAAAGCGCCTACAAGCGGCGTACTTAAGTCAGCCCACGTCGCGTGAAGTCAACCCACTGCATGGGCACAAGGTTTCAGCGAGAAGCCACCCCACTCGCGTGAAGTCGACTCATTTTGGTCAAAGCACAATGGGCACACTTGAAAAATGAGCACGGTAGGAAAGTGATATGTTCAAGGAAAAGTGTGTGCAAACTGTGTTATGGCTGGCATTTGGCCTTGCTTTCTGGATGTTTCAAGACCAAATCTCAATGGCACAGCACCGTTCACACCAATGCGCAACTTAGAGAATAGGTTGCGCGCGCACACACACATTTGCACTACCAAAGCTGCTGCTCATAGGGCATTTCTACTCCCAAAAGTTACCAAGTTCCCAGAAGCTGCTTCCCGTATCTTCCCGTACTACATTTGCGCTACCAAGCGGCCAACTCTCAGGCCACGGCTCCCGGAAGCTGCTTCCCATACCAAGCCACATCCCACAAGCTGCTTCCCAGACTACATTGCTAGAAAGTAGCGAGTTCTGAAGCCACAGCTCCCAGAAGCTGCTTCGCATATTCCATTTGCACTACCCAGTGGCCAGTTTTCAGGCCAGAGCTGCATCCCGCACTACATGTGCACAACCAAGTGGCCAGTCACCTCCCACAAGCTGCTTCCCGTACTACATTTGCACTACCAGCTGGCCAGTTCTGGCGCCACAGCTCCCAGGAACTTCTTCCCGCACTATGCGTTTGCAAGTTCCCATTTCGACGACAATTACACACTTTGGCAACTTCCATGCCGATTGTTACACAGTTTGGGAGCAAACTTCGCATTTCGCCTCGCTTTCGCACACTCGACGCGCACGATCTCCGCAAAGGTGTTCCATGCAAGGAAAAAAGAATTCGCACTTAGCCTCACGTTTGCGCACCTATAGAGAATTTGCATTTTGCGTTCCCGCGTTCGACACGCACGATCTCCGCAGAGGGTTCGCCGGGCACGATCACGATTTGCATATTGCATCATGTTACCAACCTAGATCTTAACACCTGTATCTCAACACCTCTTGCATTTGTATCTCACCACCTATATCACCTGTATCTCAAGACCTGTACCATGCCTCCACACCTGTCCAAATACCTGTATGGAAACACCTGGCCTGTATCTATGTAGATCTGACGTAGATGTGTTTCCCCTGCATCTGTGCCCTTGATGATGATGACCCTTGACAATCATATCAATCACTTGCATCTGTGCAACATTGCGCAACTTCATGTTATCATGGCGATGACAGTGATGATGATGATGATGATGATGATGTTGATGCTGATGTTGATAGATGATGATAGTCATGGTGCTGATGCTGCTGGTATTTAAATTTATGTTAATAATGACTTGAGGAGACGGGGGTGGACGAAAGGTAGCATGTCTGCGGCTGCTGCTGCTGCTGCTGGTTGCTGCTGCTGGTTGCTGGTTGCTGCCGCTGCTTGCTGCTGCTGCTTGCTGCTGGTTGTTGCTGCTGCTGCCGCTGCCGCTGTTGCTGCTGCTGGTTGCTGCTGCTGCTGCTGCTGCTGGTTGCTGGTTGCTGCTGCTGCTTGCTGGTTGCTGGTTGCTGGTTGCTGCTGCTGCTGCTGCTGCTGCTGCTTGCTGCTGCTGGTTGCTGCTGCTGCTGCTGGTTGCTGGTTGCTGGTTGCTGCTGCTGCTGCTGCTGGTTGCTGCTGCTGCTGCTGGTTGCTGCTGCTGCTGCTGGTTGCTGCTGCTGCTGGTTGCTGCTCCTGCTGGTTGCTGCTGCTGCTCCTGCTGGTTGCTGCTCCTGCTGGTTGCTGCTGCAGTTTGGCTGTTGCTGTTGCTACTTCTTGCTGGTTGCTGCTGTTGCTTGAAACTTGTGTGAGCTTTGGTGCTTTGCTGCTGCTGCTGCTGCTTTCTGCTTTGCTGTGGCGCCACCTTTTTGCTTTGCTGCTGCTGCTTTGCTGGTTTGCTGTTGCTGCTGGCTGCTTGCTTCTGCTCATTTCACCACCAAATTCTCCGCGGCGCAGGGTGGAGTCAAATGGGGGGGGCCACCCCCCGACACTTAAAACCAACTCTTAAACCATCGAAATCAAGCACCGGAGCACTTCACCACCCCCAATACATGATTGCTAAAGCAAAAACAACTCAGGTAGCGTAGCCGCTACCTTTCGTGATAATGATGATGGTGATCATGATTACGTTGGTGATTATGATAATAAACCTTCTTGTAGGACTGCGCCCTTCGCAGGTGCTTTCGGGAAAAAAACATGCTTCTGTATTGACAGTTGTGCCCTGAGGGTGGCTTTAGCTGTGTTTTTGCATTCATTCTCTGACAGTGCACTTTTTCCAACGCGGTTCTTGAGAGTGGTTAGACGGTGACTATCTATGGTTACACGGCTCAAGGGGCCCGTGGTCACAAAGTTTTGAACATGATCATGTGGCTGACTAATACTGTGCCAGCACACCCTGCACTGCAGTCTGTGCGATGGGAGCGGGCGCCCAGAAAAACAGCACAGCAAATGCCCTGTGACCATGCGATTTCAAGTGCTTTGTGCAATCCAACAAATGCTCACGAGAGCGTGGAAAAATCGGATCCCAAGAGCCATAAATCCAATGATTGCATGTGCACCTACAATTCTGTATACATCGATGCAGTCTAATAACCAACTGAAAGTTAATATGATTACAATCGATATCCATGAATCAATTACCATTGCCACATGGTATGTCTTGGAGGACACTGCGCATTAACCATTGCACATTAATATTGGAATAATCCGTATAGATTGGAACAAACAATCGCACCCATTCGCACCTCATCTTCAAATTTATATATATATATATCAGATCACGTCAGATTCCCTTCCAAAGAAACGGTTTCCATCAAAGAAGATAAG